CCAAATACCAGGACAGTTATTTCTGCCACTAGAGCAGCTGCTTGTCCCACCACAGCACTCCAATCCCTTGCTATATTCAGCACTACCGCCTACCCATTCCCGCATCCCCCCTCCTGTTTACTGAGAGGTACTTTTCCAGCAGCCCTGTGCAGCACAGGTCAGTCCCACAAGAGGAGATAACACCCAAACACTTGCAGAAGGGCAGGAGATGATTCTGCACTCCTGCCCAAAAGAGCAACTGCAAAACAAGACCCCTCTCCCCTAGCTGACAATCCCTCCCAGTGTTAAGGTCAGAGAAAAACAGGGCATCTGGGAGTAACACAGCTAGGCCACCTCCCCTTCAGCCACCTTTGCCATCCAGCCCCTCCCTGCTGAATGCTGGCACCTGCAAGGCCTAGACTAGCCTGAGGAGACTGCAACATCACTGCCAGATTCCCTACGCAGAGATCTGAGAGGCTCCAGACAGTCCCTGACTCCAGCCCTGCTTTGCACTGCTCAGGGTTTGCCTTTTCACAAAGCATCCCCTGATCTACCAGTCACCAGGCAGGCCACGCACACTGCTCTGAGCGAGGGGAGAAGGAAGACCACCCCACAGTACCTCATTTCGGATCTCCTGGCTCAGCCCTACAGCTTGATCCAAGGGGAAGCCTGACACCAGCTCTGTGGTCAGGACATGCTTGCTGCACAGCTCATCCACTACTCTTGGGACATAAAAGAAGGGGTGGTCTTTCAGCAGCTCCCTGGGGGACAGAGAAAGGAGAGGAAAAGGTTAGAAGCCCTGAGAACAGCCGGGCCTCTCCGCAACGCCCCACGCAGCACAGACGCCTTCACGCCACCTCTCCCCACGCCCTGGCTGAGGCTGTCAGGAGACATTTTCCTCAGCAGTTACAGTAGGGATCAAGTCACCAGAAATCACGCCAGTGACTTACAGCTGCTGCCAGCTCCTGAGGTCACATCTCCTGCCAGAGCAGTGATATCAGGAGGGCTCCAGGCTGGTACCTCAAGGGCCACTGGGCTCTTTTGCTTACTTTGCTCCAGGGCCAGACTACTCACATGGAAGAAACAGGCCTTTTCCAAGAAGAGCAATGCCACAGAGGGACAGGAGGGACATCCAGCCTCCAGCAGCTCTCCCTCATCCAGCCTTCAGGTAAAAACAACCTGGACCCCACTGCTACAGCAAGCCAGGGGAGCAGGCAGTGCTGGTGGTGTTAACTGCTGTAAGAGCACTGAACTGAAAAACCTCCTAAAGGATGGGAGAAGCTTACAACGGGCTGACGTAGGAGTACACAAAACAGCACTGCAACCTGGCCTCAAGAGCTACTGCAGTACCCTCACATGTGGTAAAACAGGCTCACACAGAAGTAGAGAGGATATGTTATCACGTTTTAGCTGACTGAAAATATACTTGGCTGAGACAAGGTGGCAATTCGAGGGGACAGCTCAGGCCACAAACACACCCTTCCCCCATGCCACATATCAGGGCATGGCATTCATCTCCCCACTGTCCCTGAAGTTAAGCAACCTCTCCTGCATTACACACCCAGACACACACAGACACACACAGATGGGAGGGAGTTGAAGGCAATGGTGTGAACATACTGGAATTTCCTTGCACAGGCAGCTTCTCTCTGGTAGTCACACTCCAGGGCCAGCTCTCTGCTCAGGACTTCAATCAAATGCTCAGGGAACAAACCTGGAAGTCAAACAGCAGAGAGTAGGTTTAGAAAAAAGGAGCCCCTCAGGCCAAGCTTTCCAGAGCTGCAGCTGAAGAGCAACCTGCTATCCAGCCAACTCTGAGCTGAAGAGTACAAGAGACCCCAGAGCACCAAAGCGTATTTCCAACTAGATACAGGTTCTGTGGGTAATCCCAGGCCAAGGCTACGCAGCTGCTCCTAAAGCAAGGTACATCCACACCCTTCTTGTACAGCAGGGTTCTGTCCTCCCCCAGCTCCCACGCCACAGCCCAAGCTATTCCTGGTGGTGATATGGCTGTGCAGACAGACAAACCAAGGAACAGAAGCACCCAAACACTAGCCTGGGCAAAAGCAGCAAAAAAAAAAAAAAGGCTCCAAACCATATCTGCCTACACCTGGGAGCAGGCACTGCCAGGAAGAAACAGTCAGCATGACTAAGGGAACTGCAGCAGCACATAGCCAGGACCTGAGTTGCCAAGTTCGGTCTTCTCAGACATTGAATTGGAAAACCAATCTACTTGGGCCAGACACTGCTGGGACAGCAGCAGCCTCTGGAGGGCCCTGCCCAGCCACCACAGAGAACAGTCCTGGGTTTTGTCAGCACCCAGCCTGATTTTAAAGCTGTATGTGTACAGTTGCATTAGGATTTACAGCTGCTGCAGGTAGATATTTGGAAAAAGGAATAGCAAGTCCTCCGTTCCCTGTGGGAAAAGGGACTTATCCGTGTGCTGGGGCACTGAGCAAGCTCCAAGTCTGAAAGTTCTCCACCTCTCCAAATTCTGACTGGGAAGAACAGAGAACAACTAGGAAGAGCAGAGATTGGCAGGCAGGAAACATGGAGAAGAATGAGTTCTGCCAGATGTACCAGAAAATAGCAGGGACAAAGCAAGACTACCTAACCTGAACACTGCCCATGCTTCATGCCTAGAAAACCATCAAAGGTGAGTGTACCCAAACACTTTATACTTTGCCAAGAGTCCCTATGGGTCCTTCACTATAAAGAACACAGAGACAAGTGCGCATTACTCAGGCAGGTACATGTATATACATGGCCAGGAAAAAACAAAACACAGGTACACTTCCCACCCCACTGAGTGGGCACTGGAGCAGACACATGCCCAGCAAAGGCAGTGGCAGCTCTGCAGCAGGAAAGGGGAGCAGAGGATGGCCCTGCACCCGCTGCCCACATCCACTACCTCTCCTGCCTTCTGCAGGAGATCTGCTCCTGGGCAGACTCAGCAATTCTTAAGCCCTTTTCACTGTTTCCTTGAGGCTGTTTCCTCCTTCCAGTCTATGGAGAGAAGCGTGCAACGCGCTGCTTGAAGGGGGTTGGCAGAACTCAACACATGCCAGCGGGAACATGGGGCCTGTCAAGGGTCTCTGTCTTTTTACCTTCAGGGAGAATATTGCTCATGCTCAGGACAGTCATCAGGTTGTTAACATCACTGTTGATGCTCTGGGCAACTCCGGGGTACTGCAGGACAGAACAGAGAGGGCAGTGTTGAGACTAGATGACCCAGTTGTAGAGAGCAAAATAAAAATGCCTTCCAGCTCAATATCCACTGACATCCCCCCCCGGCCCCCAACACAGCCACCTACAGCTTGGCCACGAACCAGGGCATACCTCAGTGACACACCCCTCCTCTAAAAGTTTATTTAAAGCCTAGCATCTAAAACAGGAGACAGGCTAAGACATAGCTCCTTAAGACCAGAATGGCCTGTTCAGGTTCTCTGACGAGGACTCTTCCAACACATGAAAGGTTCTCAGACACATGAATCTCAGGACAGAGGTGACAGTCGGTCATTTCCCTACCACAGCTGATGGGACATGCCACTGATAGCCCCAGAGCGTTTCATCTACAGCAGGCAGGGCAAGCAATAAGGACCCAGCCCAGTCCTGGCAAAAGGTACCTCCTTTTCTTTCTCACCTTGTCTGTCAAGGAGGGAACCAGCCTATACTGCTGTGGGACAGAATGTGTGCTGATGCTACAGAGTTAACTTTCCATTGCTTTTACCTTGGCCTAACATCAGAGAGTACTTTGCACACAAACGGCTTGAGAAGATGATACCAGTACCCATCCATACTGCTCCTGAAGTCTCCCCACTTTACAAAAAACACCAACCAGATGACCAACTTTGCCTGGGACCCTGCTCAGTCAGCAAGGGATCTCACTCCTTTGGATTATAAACCATGTTGTACACAGGACAGACTTAATTTTCACAAGAAGCTGGGAGGGGACACAGTCAGGACAGCTGACCCAAACTAGTCAAAGGGGTATTCCATACCATATGATGTACTACTCAGTATATAAGGGGAGGAGCTGGCTGGGGAGGAGGGGTTGCTGCTCAGGGACAGGCTGGGCATTGAGCTCTGGCCAGTGAGCAAATGGTATTGTGTATCACCTGCTTTGTATATTCTTTTATTAGTATCATTGTTATTTTCCTCTCCCTTTGCTGTCCCAGTAAACTGTCCTTATCCCAACCCACAAGTTTTACCTTTTTCTTCTGATCCTCCTCTCCATCCCACCAGAGAAGGGAAGAGCAAGCGAGGGGCCATGTGGTGCTTAGTTGCCCACTGGGGCTAAACCATGCCGGCTATGTCTAGCAGTAAACATACTTATGCAGCTCCCATGCCCTTCTATGGGGCACAGACAAGAGACAAGGCTGGTCTGTAAAGCCCACCTGGATTTTCATGGCAACTTCTTTCCCATTTTTCAAGCGTGCCAGGTGAACCTGACCAATTGAAGCAGCAGCAAAGGGGCGTTCTTCAAAGGACTCCAGTTGATCTCTCCAGTTGGGGCCAAGATCGTTGTTCAGAGTTTTCTACAAATAGAAAGCATCAGGATATGGGAAGCAAAGATTTAAGATTTTCATTATTGGAAAACACATTCCTCTAAGGCAACTCACACAGCCTATAGCAGTTCTGAGTACCTATACCCTGCTTTCTAGATTATCCTCCCTTCCACATCATTGCACAGCATCGCAAGTAACAGTCCAGCCAGCAGTGCTTCCCCAGCATTAAAGAGATGCTGATTGGATCTGTGTGAGGCTCTGTTGCTGTGGCCTAGAGGACAGAGATCTTGAGCACAAATACCACTGCCTTAGCAACACAAAAGTCCCCCTTCTGGTGCCACTTCCAGAAAATGAGCAAGGAGTTAGATATGTCTCCTCTTTCATCATGCTGCCAAGCTGAACAGAAGCAATCCAGGCATAGAAGAGTGACTCTCTTTAAGGCAATATTGACAATTAAACATCACAGCCTGCTTTAACAGCTCTTTTGCTACATTGCCAGACTGCCATATTTAAGTTCTGGCTCTGCTCAGTGTCTTTCAGAAGATAAGTAGTGCTGGCAATTCCTTTTGCATCATCCTTCACATCTTAATTTACAGAGGGAAGTGGAGAGAAAGAAAGAATACATATATTGGGGAAAGCAAACTTAGTTTGCTTCATTCTGGCTCTTCTTTATGGTGGGTTAGATGTAACCAAAAAGTTAAGGACAAAGTTGCTGTTAATTTTCCATCAGACTAAGGCTTATAAATCTGTTTCTAAAATGGGATGTAGGTACTTCTAGATACTGGCTTAACATCCATGAGAAAGACAAGAGAGAGGAAACAGAAGCAGAGGCTACATTCAACAAGACCCTAATATCATATTTGTATGCTGTTCCATCAGCGTAGTCTCAGGACACAGAAAACCCTCACATTTGTCCCCTCTGTCTAGAGCTGAGCTTCAATGTTTTCAAGAGAAAAGGCAGCACACAACTGAGATAAGGAATCAGATGTCACCCACAACTGAAAAAACACAACATTTATTGAAAGAACACTCTTAAAAATGCCCATCCACTTCCTTTACTGGGGTATGTCGCAGGTGACATTTATCTTGTTACTGTCCCTCCACCCCTAATAAGCAGGAAGGAATATTCCTCACCATCATCTGCTTTATTGGCATGAAGTCAGCACTCTGACGTACACGCTCAAAAATCCTCTGGAGATGGGGGTTGATGAAGGCATCATCTGCCAAGGGAAAAGCACACAGCAGTCAGCGCAGGCACTGCATTCTCCAGATCATCTGCAGCACACAAAGAAACATGCACCTGCATTCAGACAAGCCAGGTTGTCCTGCCCCCAAGCACACCCCAGTGAAGGCTTTGGAAATAATTCTAGTTCAGAAACTCTCCATACCCAGAAGCAGCACCTGAGGCACACCTCCTGAGGCATCACACCTTTAGAAATGAGAAAAACAAGAGTCCTGTGCACAAGTAGCAAAATAAAGAGAAAAAGCTACTCCTTCCTTTTCACTCTTGCAAAAAACCTGCATATTACCCAAACGTCTCCTAAGCTACCTGCTTGTGTAGCAGGAGAAAGTTTCTCTGCACCCTCTTCCAATTACCAAGGGAAAGACAAAGTATGAATACACTAGAAGGCATGTTTAGAATTTTTTTATACTTTGGAATCAAGCATCAGTTGTCACAGTGCTCCCTGGCTTTGTCCAGCAGCACTGCCAAGAGCAGCGGGCAGCTCCGCACAGCACAGAGGCTTTTGGTGTGATGGCAGGTTGCACAAACCCAAGAGCAGAGTGCTCTGCACAAGCCTCTGTCATCCACCAGTCCATCTTCTTGTTGAGAGCAGTACAGCATTCAGGTCTAGGAGATGCCACTGGAAACCTCTGGAGAGTCATCCCAACACTCCCAGATTCATAGCATGGTTTAATCCAGTTCATTCTAAGGGGCAGTAGCTTTTCTAGAAAGCTGTACAATGGTAAAACACCACTTACGCAAGTATTGAATTCTTAGAGGAATGAAAATTCAGCATCTGCTACTGTAAACAACTACCCAAATGCAAAGCAACTACAAGTGGGCAGAAGAAAACAGCTGAGCCAAAAGTAAGTTATTTTAAGAGTCAGAAGGATTTAGCAAGGAAATATTTACACTCATAAGAAAAAGGAGGGGTAGGGGCATCTTGACAGATTTGTCTTCTCCTTTGAGCAAAGGCTTCTACAGAGAAAAGCCACCAGTTCTGGCAAACTTTTCATTTCATAAATCTAATTCCTCCATGAGCCTTTATCTGCTACTCTCCCAACACTGGAAACAAGTCCAGGCTGCCAGCCTTAATCCTGAGAATCCAACCTGCACGTGCGCTTATGACATTCAAATAAAAATCTATCATTCCTCTGCATTTGCAGATGCACGCAACACCGTAAGTCTATCCCAGGAAACAAGAAACAAACAGCTACCTTAAGAGCACTGTCCTGGGAAAAGGGGTGGAAAGGAATGGCGAGAAAAAGATACATAATGCAGAGACATGACATTAGCACTCAGCGTTGTTTAGAAATTCCCACCAAAGCCATGAGCAGCATTTATAAAGTACTAACAAAACCCCACTACGGAATCAGCAGGAGTTTTTAAGAGGAGCTCCCATTCTGTCACCGCAAGTCAGAGATTAACAGGCTTTGCAGGAACAGCAAGTAAAACCCCCGTTGTGACATTACAACCCCACAAGGTGGCCAGGCGTTGCATTTGTGCGCGCATTACAAACACTGAAAGAAATTTCGGGTCTATCATCAACGCTGTATCACTGCCAAGCCTCTGAACGTTATAAAAACTATTCTTAGGGGTATGTGAAAGTATTAAGCCATCATGTTGTAACATGATAACCAGCGCCTCCTAGGATGACTGTGCAGAAAGAGAATGGACCTTGCTAAAAGTGACTCCTGCTCCTAGAAGCCATTTGTGTCAAGGTATTGGGGTCTGACAGAGGCATTTAGGATCAGCTGCTTTTTTTTACTTTATTTAGGATCAGCTGCTTTTATTTACTTTTTTACTTACTTTTTTACTTATTGCTGACATTGAAAAAAACTCATAAGGTATTTCAACCTTTAGTCCAAGAGGGCATTCTTAACTGGGGCTGCTTGACCACCACCCACTTTGTTCATTAGTGCAACGCCAAATAGCCAAGAAACCTGCAAGTCCAGATTGACTGTACAGAAACTCAGCAGCAACGTTAAAAATCAGTCATGCTGCGGAGGCAACTCTGACAAAACGAGGCTTACAACACGCTGACGAACAAGGTTATACGTCTTTGTGGTAAACTGATGAGGCCTTACCAGAATGAAATACGAAGCCAGGAGTCAAGGCAGGGCACTCAACTGGCAAATGCAGCTGCCTTTCCAACATTTTCCAGAGCACACGCACTAGAACATGGGATGACTTGGGGCCCTTGGCATCCTCTCTGTGCACGTCCTTGACAAATCCACTGACTCCCAACAGCAGACATCAGGGTTTTTAAGGACACTTTTGTAACTTCTGGGTAGTTTAGCTCACAGGTCCTCAGCTGCACCTTGGACAAGGCAACACAGAGCCCCTGTGCTCAATTAGCACACATCCCTTTTAACTGAAGAAGCCAATTCAAACTACCAGGCCACAGAGAAGCCCATAGAGTGGCAGGAACTGTGTGAAGCCCTCCTGTCCAAGCAGCCAGCCCAAGAACCGGATACTCCGCGCTGTTGGAAGCATCTAGCTTATTTCACCACAACTGTCCCTCAGCAAGGTTACCAGACCCCGTGCTCTCACCAGGCATTGCAGCACTCCACACACTCGTCACAAGAGTCGAATGAGGCTGGGCAGCACCACTGAGGTTGCTAAAGGCTTGTATGTTCTTGACACCCAAGTGAAGTCAACTAGCAAGTGTTTGACACTCCTGCCAGAGCTCAGTAACATTAGGAGACAGCAGGCAAGTGACAAAAATCCAGAGCATTTCTACTCATCAGAGCTGGCCTTTCACAGCTATTCCCTCTTCACTCACATCGTAGCCTAGGGCAGCTGTGACCAGGCTCTAGGCACACATCAGGTGCAACTCAGTAGTGTCCTGAGAATTTTAAATTAATCCCCACCTATGGTAGACAAGTTAACTTCAAAGCTGATTTCCAGACATGGCTGGCTCACCCCATGTCCCAGAGGCACTGGCCACAGAAAGCAAGGAGCACCAGAGCTCCTCCTGGACCTGCGCTGTGAACCACCAGTCATTGGCACCTGGCAGTTTCTAGAGGGTGAGAAAACAGCATGTGGGTGGCAGCCTTTGAGATGGCAGCTGCTGCCTCCCACCTAGCTTTGTTAATGTTGCCATCAGCCTGGCACGCACCTAAAATAAGTGATTAGCAAATGAAGAACGATGAAATGCCACAATCAGGACTCTCTGGAACAGGGAGCTGGTCTTGCTTTATTGGCTAGCCCAAGTTACTTAATACAATACCAGATCCAGCCTCATCAGTCAACACCTACAAAAATTCAAGTAGAAGCACAAGCCAAGCAAGCTGAGTACTTCAAGCACTCAGACACTGACTTAGTTTCAGTGACATCTTGAAAGCTATTTCCAGACAAGTGTAACAGCTATTTTTGGCTAGTTCTTTCCTTCCCTATCAAGTTGGGCAGGAAGGCAAAGTGGGCAGGTCCAGATAAGGTTTGAATTCAACACACCTGTTATCTTCCAGGAGTAACCTAACAGTTCAGTGCAGGCACTGATGTCACTCATGCCTTCACCTGTGATCACTGACTTCAGAGCCTGATGAAGTAAGTACCAGTTTGAAGTCTCAAGATGAAATAAGTGTTTTATACTCAATAAGATTATCAGCTGTACTGGCCTTTCCACAAAGCTTCAGAGCCAAAGCATGTAAACCATAAACATGCTGTAATGGGAGAAGGCTGTGGATATAACCTTGACCACTTTTGGTGAACAAAGAACAGGCTCATGTTCTTGTCATCATCCTCCTCCTTTCTAGCAGGACACCCATGTACAGAGTGTGATACAGCTCTGCTTCTCAACAATTGCTTTTAACCCAGGCCTTAAAATTCATAGAGAGCATGACCTCATTTTCAACCAATTTCACTTGTGTGCCTGACACAATAGGGGCATTGGGAAAGTGGTGTTATACAGTGCACACATCTAGTTATTTCTTACTGGGATTAGACTGAAGTGAATCAAACATATCTCCATCACTGCTCTCACATGAGAAAGCCACTTATCGAGTGAATGTGGAGAGACTAGACACCGATTCCAAACAGCTGACCATGTATCACAAGTAATCAATTGCCCCAGCTGGCAGCACTGCTAGGGAGAATAGCTGAGGACCTGTGCCACCACTTACCCTGAATGCTTAACATCTGTCCCAGCTTCAGTGCTGCTCCCCGGACCTTGCACAAGGTTCTCACGATTCTTTCTGCATTGGCCTCTGACAGGAACGGACTGGAATCCATCACCGCTTTCTTTCCTGAGGAGAGAAAGTATACGGATGAAGGGCGCCCTTACCTCAGTGAGCTCAATCCATTGTGTTAGTCCACATTCAACAGATTTACTCTTCCCCAGAGAAATCAAACTAGGGCTACACTCAGCACCTTCACTGCAACCCAGGGG